AAATTCCAAAGAAATACCAGATGACGAGTGCCCATGACCCCACATGGAGGAGTTGTTCTTATACAGAAGGAAAAGGAGACGTTTTATAAAAACTTTGTTTCTGCAGTGATATGTGATAGTTCAGTTTTTGTTTTTAAACGTTGGGTAGACCTCACGATAATTTGACTAAAAACATACTTGAAACATGAGCTTCAGCATTACTCAGGTGACAAGCACATTATACCGTAATAAAGATTTAGCATTGTAAACTTAGATTAAAAGTTATATTGTATGTCATTGTCAACACATTGTTTTATTAATGTTGAATCCGTGTTTTAAGTTAGAATGAAGAGTTTAATAATGACCCTTTCATAAAAACAGTATCTGCTGGCCATGACCCACTGGCATAACAGTGTAACTGCACTGATTGACTGTCTGTCTAGATGGCACATTTGTGTCAGTGCTAAATGCTGATAACTTTTGAAACTTTTGAAATATTAGTAGGGTACATTTGGAAATCTTTATTGTAAAAAAAAAAGAAGTTTAAAAAAAAAAACCCAATAAGCTTATTTATTTTGCATTATAATTCATTAATAATAATAATCATATTAGACCATTTTTATAACTTGGTTTCCATAAAAGTAAATAAATATCACTGGCTAAAAATTAGTAATTAGTACTCGAGTAGTTTTTGAAAGGGGTACTTTGTACTTTTACTTAAGAACATTTTTAACACCAGTACTTTTGCTTGTAATCGAGTATTATTTTAGCAACTACTTGTACTTATACTTGAGTACAAATTTTCAGTACTCTTTCCACCTCTGCCACCCAGTAATCTCAAAGAGCTTTGCTACTTTTTATAAGAAACTAAATCAGCTTTCAAATTCTGTCAGTTTTATCACAAATGTTTTTTGCAGTTTATTTGTGATGTGATAAATGTAACCACCTCAGCTCAAGCGACAAGTGAACTGGGGGTGTAATGATTCAGTTTACTGACGCTTTGGTTTATATCAAGGTTTTAGGGTCACATATTTGGCTATGGTTAGAGGGAGGAAAAAAAGACTAATGTCAGATAAATATAAAGAACCAAATATTCAAACTACACAATCAACAGCACAAATAAATACAATAGAGCAAAGATACAAATAAAATAATACTCGCCAAGACGGGCATGCTGACAATTTTTGTGTGAATTTGTTCGTTTAAGCGCAAGACTAGAAAAAGAACTCTAAATATTTGCTCGCTGTCTTGAGACGCGGCTTTCTGTTTCCGCACTTAAATAAATGTGCACACAAATCTTTCTTTCGCCTTCTCTCGTACTTGTTTAAATTAGCCAGGCTTAAATTAGATTAAACACAGATAGCAACGTGTGCCATTGAGGTCATAAGACATATCCATCGACAAACATATTAAAGGATTAGTTCACTTTTCAAAAAACTTTTACTGATAATTAACTCACCCCCATGTCATCCAAGATGTCCATGTCTTTCTTTCTTCAGTCGAAAAGGAATTAAGATTTTTAATGAAAACGCTGCAGGATTTTTCTCCATATAATGGACTTCAGTGGGAACCAGGTCAGTTCAAGTTCCAAAAGAAACTTTAGTACAAACTGCAAACTTGTTCAAATGGCTTTAAACGATACCAGACGACGAATAAGGGTCTTATCAAGCGAAACGATCGCTCATTTTTTTAAAAAATAACAAAGTTTAAGTTTTAGAAGATCAAAAGCTCACCTTGCTCTGTTCTGTGGTGCACGTTCGTGACTCTCCTGTTCGAACTCGTTCAACAAAAGGAACAAATCTTTTTCCGAATCAATTCGTTCGTTTCTTTCGCCGAATGAACCAAATGACTCGGAAAAAGATTTGTTCATTTTGATGAACGAGTTCAAACAGGAGTGCGTTACAGAACAGAGCAAGGCTTACCTGTTTTTTTTCTGTGATGTAATTGCCCATTCACTTGATTGGATGTATGTGATCATGTGACCATGCATGGCTGTATATATGGAGGTGTGTCTCCCCACTTGTTTGTCTGATGAAGGGCTTGTAGCCCGAAACGTTACATGTACACGTAGTGAGCAACCATTAAATTTTTGTAGGAGCATATTCTGGTGTGCAGACTTACTGTTTACTTTTGTTGCTACCTTACTGCCCAGCACCCAGTTTTATTGTTTTGGATGTGTGTGCTACACCTTTTGAACAAGTTAGTACAGAGACTTCAGTCTGTGAAGTGTGAGGTCATTATTTTGCTCTCAAAGTACACTAGACTGGTGTATTTAACTTTTAAAATATTTTAAATGTTATTTCGAGGAAGTATGCCCATGGAAAACCCGTCACGGTTTGAGTTTCACCTATCACAGTCTCAAAAAATCCTGTGGGAAACACTGCACTGGCTATAAAAAGGTGCATTAAGACAGACAATACCTTGTGGAAAAAAATGAAGGAAAACAATATCAATTACAACCTTGCCAAAAAGTAGACACATTCATACAATACTACCAGTAATGGTGTCTGCAAAGTGCAACAAATGCATAGCAATAAATAAATGAGAATAAAAGAAAGCACTGACTTGCACTTGTTAAAGGCCTCCATTGCAGATTTCCATTCCTGCAGCTCAAACTGAACCATTCCAGTAAGATAAGCAGTATAAGCCTGCGAAAAATATCAAACACACTTACAGTGAAACAGAACTCAATTGACTTTATGCACAGCTGCACTACTTCCAGAACTTAAGCCAGCTCCTTGTTTCCTGTCTGAGTTGAGTGTCCGCTGAAGGCATTGATGTCAGAACTCCGAAAACGTCAGATGCATTTTTTCAAATAGGGCGCTATCTTTATAAATAAACTACAGATTTGAGATTTAAACAACCACATTCTCGCCTGAAACACTCTTAAAATTACATTTCATGACACAATAACAGTAGTATTTTGATATTTCGCGGATTTTCTCCTCTCCCATTGACGCTTGCTGGTTGACGCAAGATGCATTCTGGGATACCCGGCTATCTCAAGTCCACACAAGTCACCTCTCGATGCATCCTCGGTAAACGGGGCGGATCAAAAACACATCCAGGGATTTGAAGTGAACTTGGCTAGATGTGAACTTTGAATTGGAACAGTACTTGGGCAGCGACTGATGATGACGTTTCACAAGTCAGTCCACAAGAACACAAGTACAGACAAGTACGCATATTGAGAAACGGCTAAGGAGCTGGCTTAAGTTCAGGAAGTAGTGCAGCTGTGCATGAAGTCAATTAAGTCAACATTGAGATGACCACAGCATTCAGCAACTATTAATAGACAAAAACGTTGCGTAAAATGTCTTTTGATGGTCTCCCTGAAATCACTTTGAGAAAAAATAAAATAATTAGGGCTGGGCAAGTTAACGCATTTATTAATTAATGCCGACAATTTTTTTAACGCACTTTTTTTTTTTTTTAAGTCCGTTGGTCACTGGCTCTGAATACTACACACAGGCCTATAGTCAAACCATGGATCACAGGAGGGGTGGGATGTTGGTCAGTCAGCACATAACCCACCCAAACAAGCAATGGAGAGAGGCTTTGGCAGGTTCTCTCAGGTAAATAGAAAGGGAGACAGCGCTCCGGGAGACGAGTGAATGACCGGCGCGGATAGTAACCAACGGCTTCTGTGCGCTACGCAGCTGTAGCCTTTTTAACTTAAATTAAAATTATACATAACTTTACTTGATAGGCCTGCGTTTAGTTTAGCGGGGGTGATCTGCCATGTGAATTCCCTTCTGTTGATGTCCTGATAACTATTTAGATTCTGGAAACTCACAAACAGCGAACCGAGGATCAGTCTCTCTTCCAATGATTTGTGCTGGCTGTGCGTCTTGTACAAAAATAGACAAAAAGTTAAAGTTTATAGACAATTCAACGTCGGCAACGGGCGGGCACTTGCGTGAGGCGAGCTTGACCGCAACAGTTTCACAGGAACGCACCCGCTTGTCGCTGCACCTTGTGCTCGACCACTTCACCTCACTCTAAAAGCTGATTTATACTTCTGCGTCGGACCTACGCCAGAGCCTTTACGTTGGTTTTGGTCAATCACAGCGCTTGCGGTACGCGTATTGACGCGTTGTTACATTTTTGGAGAGGTGCACGTCAGGGTACGCTCGCTACACACAGCCTACGGCGTAAGTTTGATGCAGAAGTATATTGGGCTTTACCTCTGTTTAATGTAGCCTATTTAGTGTACATGGGAAACCATGGCATGACCAAACCTAAGCTCCTATCAGAGAAGTAACGTTGGTCGACTTGGTCATGACCTCTAACTACATTGACTGTTTCTGCTGCTCCCTGATAAATGATACCTGTTGATGCTTGTTCAGAAAAAAAAAAAAACAAGAAAACTGGACTCGTTTTAACTGAATAAAAGGTAATCCCCTGTGCCAAATAGCTTTGTTTTAATATTTGATTTGATTACGTTAATGTTTAAGTTGAGATTTACAATAAATATTTTATTGCTACTGTGTATAGAGAATACTGCTGGTATAAAGCACCTTATTTGTTTAAAGTTTTTGCAAACCACATGTTATTGCACTTTTATGTATATAGCAGTACATTTAAATCAAAAGTGTGCAATACATTACTTTAGAATTCATTATTCAATTTTCCGCGTAACAATGCGATTAATCGCAAGAAATCCATGCGATTAATCGCAATTAAAAAAATTTAATCGTTGCCCAGCACTAAAAATAATCAAATGTATCTTTGACCGACCTGAGCCTCAAGTTTGGTCTTTGCGTCCACACGAGGACTTTCACACAGCTTCTCCAGCTTCTCCCCATGTTTGGCGGCCTTTCGCAGGCGAGCCAACAGGTGAAAACGCTTTCGGGGCTCAGTGTTAGCTTCCTGTTTCAGCTGCATGGCATAACTCCATGCTCTTTCCGCTTCCATTAGCACTAACAAGAGATGTCTGGAGTAGACAGATAGAGATAAGGAGAGGAAGAGAGACTAAGACCAAAGACAATAAAAAATCTTGCTTTAAGTGCACATTTTTGTATGTGTTAAGTTACCTGTTGTCTGAAAGCATCTCTACAGTCACTTTCTTTCCAGTAAACTTGTGTCTATTGCCCATTTTAAAGCCCAGAGTCTTTCTCAATCGACGCAGTCGTCGAGAGCAATAACCCCTTTAATGTCAGAGGAGAGGATCAACAAAATTTCAAGACAATTTCTTTATTTAACTGAAAAAAAGTGTCCTTGCTACCTCCCCTCTGACTTACCTGTAGCGCTGGTAATCTCCATGCCTGAGTCCATGCTGTTGCTGAGAGTCCTTAATGATCTGCAGAACTTAAGTCAGTGCTAAGGACAATAAACCCAGGACAAATCAAATACAGCATGTTAAGCTTTTAAAGTACTAACTTACCAAGAGTGTACTCAGTAGGCTATATTATCTCTCAGAAAAGGGCTCAATTTGGCTTTTCATCCACCAAGTCATTACCCACTAACGTTACTTCAATCAACACTCATAAATATTTATGGAAACCTTATTGAATCTCTTCATTATACAGAAAATACTTTTCTACTCAGTAACGTTACTTCTGAAATCAAGTGACACGTATCCCATAAGACCCCCATAGCAGCCGTCCTCCACTAAACTGCTGCTTTAATGCTACTCTCCAGCACTAACTAACTGACGCAGTGAGTTTAACATTGAGGATACTCTCCAGGCCAAGACTTCCGTCGATGCTGTTCTCTTTATTTTCCTCCATTGTCGATATTTTCACCTCATGATTCTGCCTCTCCGCGGCCATTTTTCAGCAAGCACACGTCTGATAAACCTCAACCAGCGGATGAAGATGATCCGTCTTCTTCTGTCTTGTGTTGTGTCACAAACAACATACCATTACCGCCACCTACTGAGCTGTAGCACGAAATCGAATCAAATAAACTTCTTCTTCTTCTTCTATGGATTTATTGGCGGGGTTTTTTTTTTTTTTTTTATGCTTTATTGTGAACATCAAGTAGCATGTACATTGTAATTTCTCATCCAACATATTTCACATGCCTCATTTATTGGCGGGTTGCATACCAAGTTTATGGTGCATACCGCCACCACCTGTGCTGGAGTGTGAAGTGATTTCAGTCTAGAAGTATGTTAAAAGATGATTCTAGTCCTAAATCCTAAATCTAGTCCTTATGACAATGGGTTTCAGAACAGGTCAGGGGATCTCTGGATAATCCGTAATTCGTTTGTAATTATAAAACGAAAATACCGTTTTTCTGTTTTTTGTTTCAAATAGAAAAACCAAATAACCGTTTTTGGTGTCAGAATCAAAAAACGAAAAACCAATTAAAAACTGCCCATTTTTCGTTTTTTGGCGATAATTTATCGTTATTCATTTTTGAACAAAGAATGAATTGAGTCTTGAACTTCTGTCAATTTTTTTTCGTTTATAAACCAAAAACGGAAGTCACGTGGTCCATTCCTTATTTGGAAGCGAATGTACCCGGAAACACTTTCAAAATAAAAGTAACTACAGTTAGCGAGGTGATGGTAGACTAAAACTGAACTAATATAAAAAATTTTAGTACAACTAAAGTAGCACTGGGTGTGAATAAGACTTTAGTTAACTGAAATAAAAATAAAAACAAATAAAATAATAACTCTGGCTGTTAGGGAGAATTAAACATTTGTAAGACCATTGGTGAATAGGGCCTACAGCTATGTATGCTATGAGCAGGGCTCTGCATTGCAACTCTTTCAATAGCATATATGGCCTAACATGTTTTACAAGCATAGTGGGTGAGTGAAGACTAAAACCTACTGTAAATGTTATAAGGTTATATTATACTTTTATACATTTATAGTTCCTTGTCCAGGTTGTGGTTATTAGCCTCTGCAGTGGACAGATGTAGATTTAGCCAGAGCCAGGATGTCACTGTGCAAAAACATAATTTATAAAATATATATTTCATAAATCATATTTTTTTAAATAAAAAACTGAACTTCACCTGCCTTCCAGCTCCCCTTTCTATCGCTATTCTATAGCTATAGCTGCTAAAAACTCTCAGCTTCCACCATCTACTGTTACCCCTTCTGTGTCAAAACAAAACTCTTCCAAAACAAATCTAGAAAGTTTTAAAACTTTTTATTTTTCCTTTGCATTTTTCTCCAGTGTAATATTATTATGTTAGTTAAGTAGATTATATATTTTTAACCCTTGTGCATCAATTATATAGAGGACAAAAATGTCTGTGTCAAAAAACTGTCATACAAATGTGAAGCTTGGAGCTCAGACTTAAGTTGGTATCATTTTAAAGAAGACCCATGGCAGATTATTGCTGAAGTAAACTAAAGCTTAATTAAAATAATAAGTGAAGAGTTCAGATGCAAAAGCCTCTAAGTGCCATTTGAAATTTTCTTCTAAAATTATCATTTTTATCAAGCCAGTATATTTAAGTTCAGTAATTTTACTTAAGTGGAAATAAAGATTTAAGTGAAATTACTGAACTTAAATATACAGGCTTGATAAAAATGATAATTTTAGAAGAAAATTTCAAATGGCACTTAGAGGCTTTTGCATCTGAACTCTTCAAGTAGTAAATCCAAAAAAAAAGTTATATAGGTATAAGTTTATAAAAATTATTTATAAAAACAATATGATTTATAAAATATATATTTTATAAATCAGGTTGAACTCTAAAACTGCAAGAAAATCAAAGCCATGAATCTGAATAGGTTGTGTTCCAAATTTGAGATAGGCCTATCTCAAAAAAAATGAGCTTTCGGTAAGAGTTTGTTTGGGTGCAGTAACAGATTTTCCCCATTGGGTGCCAGCAAAACTCCACTGGTGCACACAGTAATTGGATTTTAGATTTGCAAATTTGAGTTTTTCTCTCTCAAATATTACAAGTACACAAACACATATACACACAAAAAAATGTATTACACACATACAAACCACACTCTGACATCCACCCACACAATTATCGTTAATAAGCAGAAAACAGGAATAAAGCAGCATTTGTTTTATAGGCTAAACCTGGACAACTGGCACCATCTGGTAAAAAAAAAAAAATTGTAAAAATAAAAATTTTGGAGCCTTGCCAACAGAATAAAAGCCTATTAACAAAGATTGCATCATTTTATAATTAAATGACCCTGGGATTAAAAATTGCGGTTTCAATGGGTTTCAATGGGAACATTTTTGTCCAAGAGGCGCTGATAGGGAGTATTTTGTGTACCTAATGCAAATTTATTACTATTTTTTTTTTTTTAAGAAAATGGTGGGGAAATTGTAAAATTCCATAAAAAATACACACCTGTGCCAAATTAGCATTAACACAGGTAAAGTGATTAAAAAAAACTGAAAAGGACAAAAATGTCCATAAGGATGCACAAGGGTTAATGCAGCTTGTAGTTCTCATTAGTTATGTAGACCTACTTATGTGTGAAACCCAGCATTACTCGGTCAAAAATGAGCTGGGACTTTCAGATCTTTTAGCGCTTTTTGGGGGTTTAATTCTGTTTGGTGAACCACCGGGTAAAGGCAGTGCTCTGTACTTTTGGTACTTGTGTAAAGTAAAATAAAAGTGTTTAGTTTTTTACTTTTAGTTTTTTAGCTTTTAGTTTTTCTCCCTGGTACTCGTGTCAGGGCCTCCCAGAGTTTCCCCAATACCTTCCTGGAGGATGTGAGCCTGTGCACTGTGTGCAGGGTTAAGGACTGATGATAGTAGCAGGACTGGCCCCTTCACCTACCGTCACTCTCTCTTCAAATAAATGCTGGACAGGCAGGACAAAGTAGAACACCACTCCTTCCTCTGGCACCATAAAGGGGCCTTGTTGTCACTTTCAGATATGTCCCAGCCGATATTTATATGTGGGGCCCATGTGGGTTTGAAATGGGCTGAAAAATGGGCTTTGATTGGGATTGTCCACGGGTTACATAATGGCCCTATGTAAATTGCCCAGATGAATTTTATATAGGATTACACTTGGTACTAGGCCGGACCCAAGTGGGCAACATGCACAAGACCCATCTCGGGCCCAGCTTTAACCCAGCCGACATTTGTATGTGGGTCCCATGTGGCTTTGAAATGAAAAGTGGGCTCTGTATGGGATTGTCCGTGGGTTCCATAATGGTGCCATGTAAATCGCCCAGGTGGGTTTCATGTAGGATCGCACTTATAAACAGGTGGGCCCCAACTGGGCCACATGCACAAGACCTATCTTGGTCCCAGCTTTAGTTTTTTGTGGGTACTACAAGGTTACTATATGGGCTGAAATATGGGCTTTAAGTGGGTTTGTCCATAGGTTCCATGCTGGCCCCAGCAACTTGCTGGATTTCAGGATTCAGGATTTCTTTTATACAGGATTTCACAGGGCTTTAGGTGGGGCCCAACTAGGAATCATATGCATGTGGCCCAATTAGGGATCATCTGGGCTCCATCTAAATGAGTAGCAACACCACACAAACAAGTTTTAAAGCATTAGAGCACACAGTGATATTGAAATATTTTCAATTTTATTAAAATTACTCATCATCATATTATGCTATATTCTGAAATTCCAGGGACAATATTTAAAGAAGCAGATTTATGTCAGATTAAAGAGTATCTATTTAATACCTATTTGTTAAAATACATATTTTGAACCTGTATTTGACCCAGTCTTTACTGGACATTTGAACAGGATATAAATTGGTGACAGTTAGAAGAAGCAGCAACTATACAGTACATTTATCAGTACAGCTTACACTGCAGACAGTCATTTGCGCATCTAGACACTCTCCTCCTCCATCTCTTGTCCTGAACTATTTTGAGAGTTCCCTCTCAGTTCCTTGCCAGTTGATCTGTGTTGTCTTCCTAAGAGCCTCTGCAAAACATTTTTTTATTTTTTATTTTTTTAGGGATTTTGATTTTAGAAAAATCATGTTACTTACACGTCACAATACCTTATGACAGAATAACAATTTCTAATCAGGATAAAAAAAAAAAAAACAGCAAAAAAATTATATAGGAATGGTGACGGTTTTGGAATGTCACTGGAAGGGCATTTAGGAAATCAATAAAAAACAGTTTATAAAGTATGCATAATAAGTATAATGATTTATGATTACTTTTAAAGTAAAATTAGGAATGCTCCGATCAATCGGCCAGATATTAGGGTTAGGTTAACTAAGTAAGTAAGTAAAAGTTTATTTATATAGCACCTTTCACAGGTACAAGGCAACAAAGTGCCTTACAACAAAAACATTAATATCATAAAATACACACAATAAAAGCATAGACAGTACATGACCATATCATGTAACACAGGTACCTAATTAAAAGCCTGAACAAATAAATGAGACTTTAGTCTGCATTTGAAGGCATCAACAGAGTCAAAAGAGCGCATATACAGTGGGAGGGGGTTATTAAACGCCTTCTGAAGCAAAGCCATGAGTTTGTGTAAGAAAATATTCGGTAACGCTTTAGATTACAGCCCGGAATGTACTATGTAATTAAGAGGAATTTACAGTGTAACTTTCTGCAATTATAGTGTACCTATAAAGGACTTGCATGTAAGTATATGGGTAAAGTTTTGGGAATAATGGGGTAACAACCAGGAGAATTAAAAATATATATTTATACTGTAAGTATTATAGAAATAAGGGTTACTTATTCTACTATTATGATACAACAGTCTTACATTTGGGAGCAATTTAGCGAGTACATACACTGCAAACCTTTTTGTAAAAATTGTGTATCAATACTGTATAGGCTTTTTTTAAAGGACAGGGTACATATATAGGCATTTATACAATTCTTTAATATTTTTTAAAAAAATTATAGCAAAAGTGGAGATGTTTAAGTTTTGGCTAACATGTTTCAAGGCAAGAAAAGCTAAGACTATTGCAATTTTTTTTAAATAC